TCTAAACCCATTATCATTGGCTTATACTCATCGGATAGACCAGCTAACATTAGAGTCTCAAGCCACTCGTAATTCACTTCAAAGCCAATGTTTCTAAGTTTATGTGCAGCATTCATTATTTTACTAATATAGTCTTCTACATTTTCACTCGATTCGAGTGAAGTATTGATCAATTCCTTCAACAAACTTACCCTGCTGGTTAGCCCGTTATCATCAAATGCTTTATTCAAATTGTCACATACTTCTCTAGTGGTATTACACTCCTGAACATGGATATAATTTTGAGTGTTAATAAGTAGAATACGTTTGGATTTCGCCCTCACATCCTTCACAGGGTCGACTGTCTCTGTACCCGGTTCTATGCAACTCCATAAATTTTCGTGCTCCAAATAAGTTTTCACACTGAATTTCCACGTAGAAAAATTATCTCGGCCATTCAACTTATCAATATTAAACATATTTGAGCTCGACATGACTTTATTCTTGCACGTTGTACTTAACCTCAATCTCGGAAATGTCGGAATCACTGTTTTCAGTTTGTTTCTTCTTTCTTCTGCTTTTTTTGCAACCACACTCTGCTAACATGTAGGATTTTGTGCAAATAAGGAATATAACAGTAATGCGTAATATATAAAAAGAATGTGCACCACAGAACACAATTACTCTCTAACAAGAGATGTGCACAGTGCATAGAGAAAAGAATGTTAAAAATAAAAAAACTACAAAGATAGTGGCGCCAATAGAGAGATGACAATAAAAGGAACTTATCAGGTTGCGTTCCAATTCTATCAAAAACGAGTAAGAAATAGCTTGGTAGAAATCAACCTTATTCCCAGGGGTTATTGTCGTCCATAAATTCCTTAATATTAAATAACCCTTGTTATATAAACTTTGTTTAATATAGTATTTGAACTTTTTGCAGGTCAAAATTTTTGTATTTAGTAATAGATAATATAGTGCCGTATATTATTTTATTAGTAATTGTGAAAAAGCTTGCTTATTTAGGACAATGTCTCATCTGTTATTATGGGACTTAAGCGTTGAAAGGACATTGCTCTGCTTACATTGTTCGCCCTGGAACCAAGAGCATCGGAAAATTATGTTTTTTACTGTCGATCATTAGTAAATTCCTATATGATCTTATTTTTATAGCGGACTAGCTGCATAAAAGATATATTAAAAAAAAATTATCAGATTTTGAGGTTATAATACCACGAATATTACTGTTTTTCATAGCTCCGAGTGATTTTTAACAAACTGAATCTAAAATTGAAACTGAAATTATATATTTTAGTACCTATCTAGATAATTAGGTATGCAGTTTTTGTTCTAAAAATTAAGTGTATGTAAGTGCAACGTATAAATGCATAAAATCTAGTTAACAAACCTACTTTCTAAGCATTGGTTTTGAAATGAGAGATAATGTTTGTGTGTATTAATGTAAAAATAAAAATGTATGTAAGGTACGGTAAGATACCTAGTACCTATATGTATAAGGATTTAGGCTGGTTTCAGTCACGCCGCTAGACATGCCGTCGAACAGCGAGCGGATTAACCACGGTTGCGTTCAACCAAGTTTCAACAGCGCGCGCTTGAACAGCGTGAATATTATCGACTACTACCTATCTAGTGCATTTGCAAGCATGTGCGTCTGAACGGCGCTATTCAAACCTGTGACTATGAAACCAGCCTTACCGACTTAGTACCTAATTGGTAGTATAAGTTGTTTTTACACCTACATTAAATTATTATGTTTGAATTAGAAATAAAACACAGATTAATTTCATATTTATTGTTCATCTTCTAATTTGGAAATTAGAATATTGTCTAAAAATTGTGCAGGGATGTCGATATTATTTTGATGTCTCGTAAAGCTCTAGTACAAAATAATGGTCATAACATGGGCACAGCAACCGATGGTTCTGCGTACAACGATGCGATTACAGCAATATTGCACGATTGCTTCTCTGTTCATCTTTCAACAACATTGACATTGAACCACCAGCAGAGCCGCAATTTACACAAAATACACTTTCCATTTCGTATGCGTAAGTCCGTTTATGAATGCTAGGTTATCGTTTGACCGGTAGACAGTTTCGAAAATCACTAAAAGGTAAGTCGTTCTCAACGCAATCAGAGTCCGTTAAAATAGCCAAATCGTAATGTTCAATATATAGTCCCGAAAGTCACCAAAACACCGATACAATTACAAAGAGCAAACGACGCCAACCAAACAACCAGATGACAGTGATAGTACAAAGTAGGCATGTCGATTTGAAATCATTTAATCGATTGTTTTTAGTAAAATAATCATCAGGATCAATATAGATCTGAAAAATCCTTGTCTGGTGTCCTGCTATCGACTTAGAACACTTCATCCATTCAATGAATCGATCCAAAAACCTCTCGAATCGGATTTATTCAAGAACTAGCTATATTTCAAACAATTCAAGAAATACTTTTGCATAGTTGGAACATCTGTTCCTTGTGACAGACTTTTTTCTGTTCTGTTCTGGCTTCAATCCCAGGGTCATGCAAATTATTATTGAGTTTTTATAACTTGAAGTTCCCTGTAGTAGCTTGAAGTCTGGATTTCTGCCCGGTGTTTGGCAATACGCCATATTAAATTACATGGGACGTAGAACATAACAGTAATATACACCTCTGTCTAATCCTTTTGGGAAATACAGACGTGATGTTATATTTTTTAATTTAATGATGTTTCTATACAATTACTTGTACTTACGGTAAGTTATCGTCAATAATGATCTGTGTCTATATTAGGAATGTTTGAAAATGTCGCGATTGATAAAAAATAGATCTGTTAATGCTTCATTTAATCGAAAATCGATTCTAGTATGTTCGGTTTGAATCGAATTGGAGATCGTATTTTTTTATGAGATACTGAAAGTGACAAGTGACATCAAAAATAGGAGTGCCAAATACAATACGATTAATGGATATTTGCTAAGATTTATTATAGCCATACGTTACAAACAGTATTAAATACATCATCTTTTGTCATACGATAATATTAATACCATCATAAGTAAGACAATATCCTACTTTACTTATAATAACACGTACGTCTGTACTTCTTCCATACTTGTAACAATATTAATAATAACATCTGTATCAAGTCTGCAATATTACTCTTTTTAAAGAACACATTTATAATAAATGCAGTAACGATAAGTGTTTTTTTATATTAATTGTAGTAAATTCGTAAGTTATCGTTTAGTAAGACGTAAAATACATTTTAGGGAATAATATAAAATAATATAAAGAAAAGGTAATTTAATATTTTTGTTGTAGCTTCTTTTTGCAATTTTATTCGAAATAAATTCAAAGTGTAATTCAGATTAAAAAATATGCAACAGTTCATTAAAAATTCAAAAATCGATTACAATGGATTGGGCATCCCTGATCATTTTTCGACACCACATGACGTTTAGCGAAGATGGCGGCGATTAATGTTATTAGTCGAATAGAATTCGAATACTTTTTAATGTTAATTTTTGCACGCAGCTAGTCCGTGTTACAAAAATATTTGCAACTAATATAATAAAATAGACATTTAATTATCGTGTATGTCCGATGCTTTTAATACACAGAGCGATTCTGGACATTGTCCTTTAGTAGCAAATAGTGGTTTTTTTTTGGATAAGAGTTACAAACGGGCACCTGATCGTAAGTGGTTGCTGAAGCCCATGGGCATCTACATCTATCCTGGATTACGAATCATAATGTAAATACGTTGTCACCTTACCTATATATTATATATTATGATGAAATGTCTCGTTTGTGGTTAAAAAGTCTCCGGCTCTTTAACTCACCATACGAAATACTTAATCTGCTATTTTACGCTTGTATTCCGTGAGGACGTGGTCTTTTTCTTGTTGAACCGATACATATGTGCTACAACCATAACATACGTCAGCATGACTCTACTACTAAAAATACTGAGTTTGCACACTCGTCTGCCAAACCTGATAAATATCCCCCTGATGAGGTAATCTCGGAAGACTGTAAGACCTAGGTTCAGTAATATACATTGGAAAGATTATTATGGATGAATAAATAAAATAATGAAATGTTAATTGCAATAAAAAATTAATAGTTGATTGCAACTTGAAGCCGAAGATGTAGATGTCTATAGACCACAGTATCCACTTACTATCAAGTGGGCTGTAAGTTCGCTTGTCACCCTTTTACTATTATAAAATACAATATTCATTTATTTTTAGATTTTATCGCCACCTATTGAAGAAAAAAAAGAAGAAAGAAATGTGATTCTGAGTTATCACTCAGAATCACATTTCTTTCTTCTTTTTTTTCTTGTGATATTGTGGCGTCTCAAAATCTTTATTATCTATCGATAATAAAGATTTTGAGACGCCACAATATCCACTTACGATCATGTGTTTACTCATTCGTCACTTATACTAAAAAAAATATCAGGTGGGCTCCATCTCCTGTTTTAGTTTTCCATTTCACACTTCATGCTTCATTACGAAATGATATGAGGTAGTTAGGTTGGTTAAGAACTTAAACAATAATATTATATTTTATTCAACGCAATAATATAAACATTTAATAAAATTATTCCAAATCCAAAAGCAAACCAACACCCAAAAAGGTTATAACCTCAAAACCGTTTTCGGTTTTTGTCCTTTCAAGCTTCTACCCCAAAACAAAAAACAATCGTTCGAAACTGTTAATTATGAATGTTACAAACGAAATTTACGTAGTTGCGCCGAACCGTAAATTTGGGTTATTTGTATAACAATATTATCCATGCGAACGAGAACCAAATTTAAATCATAAAACACAATAAATATTTATTATTTTAAAAAACAGTGTAGTGGCGGTTAAGAATAACCACTGCCCCAAGTCTTCCCGTGGGTGTCGTAAAAGGCAACAAAGGGAAACAGACAGAAGATGGGCAGCAGTATCTTCCTGATGACAGCAAAATTAGAATAAAAAAAACTGCGGTTGCCATGAGAAATGACAATAATAAACAGCCCCCAGTCCCCGGAGGCCCCGCTATTCCTGGGTACGGTGGCGACCATGGTAAGGGCGGGGCAGGGGGTGCTAAAATCTCCGGTGGAGGTTCGGTTGCCACCTAAGATGACTCGACCTGGCAACATACAACGCACGCACCCTGAGGACTGACGAGAAGATCGTGGAGCTGGAAGAAGAGATAGACAAGTTACGCTGGCATATTGCAGAATTATCCGAGATCCAAAGAGAGGGGGAGAACACGGTAATCCTTGAATCCGGTAACTTGCTCTATCACCGGGAGGGCGACCATCTGTCCCAAGGAGGTGTCGGACTTATCGTCCACAAGTCTCTCGTTAACAACGTTGTAAAGATTGAGGATGTGTCGGCGAGGGTTGCGTACATTATACTCAGAATCACCAAACGGTATTCGCTAAAGATCATACAGGTTTACGCACCAACCTCGGCACACCCCGATGAGGATGTGGAGGAAATATATGAGGATAAATCTAGAGCCATGCATTCCTGTAAAACCCACTATACGGTGTTAATGGGAGACTTCAATGCAAAACTATGCACAAGAGAGACCGGTGAGCTGAAAGAAGGGAAATTTGGAATAGGGCAACGGAAACCAAGGGACCAGCAGCTGGCCGACTTCATGGAGAAAGAGGGACTCTTTATGATGAACTCTTTCTTCAAGAAGAAGGAAGTGGACCTGGTAGAGCCCCGACGGTTCGAAAAAATTGAGATTGACTTCATAATGACGACCAGACGACAACTGTTCAGTGATGTCTCCGTGATCGCAAAGTTGAAAACTGGTAGCGATCACCGAATGGTTAGAGGCACACTGAACCTAAACGTTAAGTTGGAGAGGTCTCGTGTAATGAAGTCAGCGCTCCATCCCCCCTGCTCTGTTCCAAAGTCCCAAAACCTTTCAGCTCGAGTTAAAAAACCGTTTTCAGTGCCTAGAAGACTGCAATGAAGTGGACGATATGAATGATAAGCTCGTGGAAACTGTCCATGCGATTGAAGCTAAGTTCTGCAAGACCCGCCGCAGAAGAACACAAAAACTCTCCGATCACACTCTTAATCTCATGGCTGTTAGACGGAAGATGAAGCTACATTCTTCAACAGATTTGACAGCATACAGGCAACTGAACAGACAGATCTCCAATTGCATGCGGCGGGACTGACGTAACTTCAATACAGCTTGTATTGAAGAAGCGGTCGAGCGGAACCAAGGCTCCAAAATCTTTGCACGAGATCTGTCTGCCAGAAAGAGCCAACTGTCAAAGCTGAAGACCGAATGTGGCAGCATCGTTTCCGGGACACCTGAGATTTTGAGTGAGATTGAGAGGTTCTATGGGCAGCTGTTCACGTCATCGTTGGAGCCACACGCAAGTGTGAGTAACGATTCAAGAGCGAGTCTTATCCGACACTATTCTAAAGATATCCCGGACGTCAGTCTGAGCGAGATTAGAATGGCTCTCCAGTACCTTAAAAACGGTAAGTCCCCGGGCGAGGATGGAATTACAGCGGAGCTTTTGAAAGCGGGTGGGAAACCGGTACTTGAAGTTCTTTATAAGCTCTTTATTTCCGTCCTCCGTGGTGGTACTGCTCTGGAGGCGTAGCCTTGTTCTTCAAGAAAGGTAACAACGCTCCGTTGAAGAACTACAGACCGATTTCCTTTCTGAACCGCGTCTACGTGCTGTTTTCGAGAGTCATTACGAATCGTCTCGCGCGCAGACTTGACGACTTCCAGCCTCCCGAACAAGCCGGTTTCCGAAAAGGCTTTAGTACCATGGACCACATACATACCCTGTGGATAATTATACACAAGACAGAGGAGTATAATCTGCCTTTTTGTCTTGCGTATGTGGACTATGAGAAAGCCTTTGATTCCGTCAAAATTTGGGCGGTGCTGTAGTCCATTCAGCGGTGCCACTTTGACTGTCGGTATATCGAAGTCCTGAAGTGTTTGTACAATAGAGCTACGATGGCTATCCGAGTACAGAATCAGAGTACGAAACCTATCCAATTGCAGAGAGGTGTAAGACAGGGTGACGTTATATCCCCGGAACTCTTCACCGCTGCATTGGAAGACGTTTTCATGCTGCTGGACTGGAAAGGACGCGGTATCAAAATCAATGGCGAGTACATCACTCACCTTCGATTTGCTGAAGATATAGTCCTTATGGCAATATCGCTGGAAGACCTAAGTACTATGCTCAATGACCTCAATAGTGTCTTTCAACGGACAGGTCTAAAGATGAACATGAACAAAACAAAAATCTTGTTTAACGTCCATGTCACACCTATGCGGGTAGTTGTTGGGAGCAATAAGCTCGAATTTGTTGACGAGTATGTTTATCTGGGACAAATAGTCCGACTAGGTTAGTACCAACTTCGAACTAGAGGTCAATCGCCGGATTTAACTCGGCTTGGCAGCGTTCGGGAAATTACGACACAAATTCTGGTTAGACATACCTCAAAACCTTAAAACGAAATTGCATAAACAGTGCGTGTTGCCAGTGATGACTTATGGATCTGAGAGGTGTTCCTTCTCTGCTGGCCGGATGAGGAAGCTCAAGGTCGCTCAGCGAGCTATGGAGAGGGCTATGTTCGGGGTTTCTCTGCGTGATAAACTTAAAAATGAGGATATCTGCAGTAGTACCAGAGTAACCGACATAGCCCAACGGATTAGTAAGCTGAAGTGGCAGTGGGCCGGCCATATAGCTCGAAGAACCGACAACCGATGGGGAAGAAAGGTTTTTGAGTGGCAGCCTCGTACCGGCAGGCGAAGTGTAGGGCGTCCCCCCACTAGATGGAGTGACGACCTGGTAAGATATGCAGGAAGTCGATGGATGCATGTGGCTCAGGAACGTGCTTTGTTGCATTCCTTGGGGGAGGCCTATATTCTGCAGTGGACTTGTAAAAGGCTGTAATGATGATGATGATTTAAAAAAAGTAAAGTTACCAACGAACTTACATTCCACCTGACGGTTAATGGCTGCTGCATTGACATCTGCAACCAAATTCGAACAAAGATTTTTTATAGTAGTAGTTTGCATAAAATCACATCTGGCATACAACATGGACCTCATGTAGGCCAAATTCCATTTATTATTTATACCAATGGTTCACAATTAGGAAAATATCTCATAACGTAGATATAAATAAAACCTACTGTCGAATTCTTTTTTTTTTATAGGAGAAGGGGAAAACGAGCATGCGGCTCACCTGATGATAAGTGACCGCCGCCCAAGAACAACTGCAACACCAGGGAAATTGCAGACGCGTTCACGAATTTTTAAACCGACTGAGAAGATACGAGAAAGGGGTTCTTTTTAATGGTAAACGCGCAAACTTGTGTCTTCTGAGGATTTAACTGGACTAGACTTTTATTATCATCACCGCCGAGCAAGTATCAGTAGTAGACAAAATAATAATTTATTTATTTATTGGCGCCGAGGGGGACCAAACTCGGAATGCTCGTTACCGTTACTGTAACAGCCTATTAAATTCCACAACTAAATATTTCCGCATTATTAAATTATTATAATACCGCCTCTCAGGGAGGATAATCGCCATAGTTGCTACGCTTGGTAAGCGCGTTGGCAATCGCAGTTTTTATTTTTATTTTAAGTCGTTAATATTAAGAAGCTGCTCCATCTCCTGATTTGTTTTTCTCTGTCGCCTTTTACGACACCCACGGGATGATATGGGGTAGTGGATATTCTTAAACCGCCACTACACGGGACCATGTGATGTTCACTTACATTGAAATTTACGGCAAACGCTTAGCCTCTGACCTACCACCGTTTTTTTATTGACTACACATATAATTATGTGGTTAATAGTACATTGATCTTCGTCCTCTATTATTATTTGGTAAATAAATAATGCTTTTACCCCACTAGTAGGCCCGGCAGATGTAATTCTGCTCTTTACGGTTGGTGGCGCGATGAGTTTCATTTTAAATTTTCTCTAATCAAGTAAAAATCTAAATATGGGTTAAATTTTTATTATTCTGCGTGGTTATTTGCGTAACGATGACTTCTAGTTCAGTTTTAAGTGCATATAATCTAACTGGTCTGAATAGGGGATGACGGAGCCCGGCTCTGATGGCTAACTGATATTTTGGGCGGTGAGAACCGCCCAGGGACGCGGGTGTACAGTGTGTACGCGATGTGGATGGATGTGCGGCGCGCCCGTCTTCTGACTCGCCGCGTCCCATCCACTGTTGTCCTAACTGCGTTTTTGACACTAGGTGTGTGTGTAGTGTTTATGTGTGAATGGCCGGGGACATTTCTATCATAGGCAGATGCCTAGGCTTGGTGATCTCTTCGTGTTGTTGTTGGACGGTGGATCGAGTTCGTAGTTCGTACATTATATTAAATAAATAATGATAAAGTGTGTGAAATAGAGTAGAAGTGTTAAAAAGGAATAGTAATCAAAGTGTTTCCCTAGATATATTGTGGACAATGATACATCTGGACTGATAATCCTAAAAAAGAGTGAATAAATACATAGCATGTGCAAAAACTTTTTACAGTTAATTTCGTTATTTTGTGTCCGATCGGTGCAAATTAAAATGTATATTATATAAAAGACGGAATAATATAAAACAAGTGTAACTCTGGACAAAGTGATAACAGTGGAATAAAATTTGATCAATAACATAACCTAACAAAAACCGTTATTAACTACTAAAATATAATCTCCATACCAAGTGGGGCCATCTGCTGCGAGGTTAAGATACTATTAAGGCAGTCAATAACGACTAACTAACGTTTTGCAATATTAGGGAAACTTACGCCATCTATGGTAATATCAGCGAATTAAGATATACTTGAGAAACTTTATCAATCGATTGCAATAAAGGTTTCTAAGAACAGTACAAAATTAAAACAGAGGGCGCTACTAGTAAATAAAATAAGAAACCAAAAAAATTAAAAATAAAGAAATAAATAATGGAAGATCTTCAAAAAATTTTACTAGAATTAAAGAATGATTTTGAAAAAAAATTTAATTCCATGGAGTCAAAAATATCAAAAATGGAAAACCAAATTACCACAAAAATATCAAAACATATGGATGAAAAATTTCATACGATTGAGAAAGAGTTGGGAAATATTCGAATAAAAGAGGAAGAGCAAGAAAAAAGGTTAGATGCGCTAGAAAAGAACAATGTACAGAGAAACCTCGTATTTTTTGGAGTCGAAGAGAATGAAAAATCGTATTATGATCTTCAAGAAAAAATTATAGACATAATAAAAAACGACATAAAAGTTGAAATACAACAAAGTGAACTACAAGCATTAAGAAGATTGGGAAAAAAAGGACATAAAACCAGACCTATCTCTGTGATGTTTACTACATTAGGAAAGAAAATTAGTATTTTGAAAAACAAAAATAAATTGGAAAATACAAACATATACATAAAACACGAATTCCCTGCAAAAATTCTGAAAATAAGAGAGGAACTAAAAATTCAACAACAAAAAGAAAATGAAAAGGGCAATATAGCATACATCAAATACGATAAACTTGTTGTTAAGGAAAAATATAAAGATACAAGTAATAACAAGAGGCAATTATCTATATCTCCCCCAAAAACGTCACAAAGTACTCCTACTAGAGAGGCGCCAACAATGAATAACAAAAAACAAACACAAATAAATAAAAAATACAAAGCTAATAACAACACAATGACGTCTTATATAACCAGAAACGAAGATGTATGACTCTACGAAGCACCCTCCAACAGCACTCAAGAAAATAGTAATAATAACTTAAATAATTTAAACACTCCCTCAGTACGGGTGGTCGCCGCGAGGAAGTTAGACCAAAACCCTCCATCTCAAACTCAAAAATATACTAACCTGCACCTCCTCACATACAATGTAAGATCGCTTGTGGATAGCACAAGACTACCACAACTAGAACACAGTTTAAGAAATATAAAATGGGATGTTATAGGACTGTCAGAGATAAAAAAAGCCGGTCAACAGATAGAGGAACATGGAAACTTTGTACTCCTCTACTGTGGCGAACAAAGCGGAAGAAATGGTGTCGGTTTCTTAATACAAAATCACTTGAAAAAATATATTGACAACTTTAGTTTTTATACAGACAGAATAGTCCGTCTAGACATGAACTTTAACAATAATTATATAACCTTCATACAAATATATGCACCGACAGAAAAAGCACCAGAATCAGAAATAGAAAACTTCTATAATGACTTAAGAAAAGCGATGAAAGATATCAAAAAGGATACTTTTATCGTAGGCGATTTTAACGCTAAGATTGGTTTGCCAAGAGAAGAAGAAAACCTAGTGACAGGAAAGTTCGGATATGGGAGTAGAAACAGTAGAGGACAACGATTAATAGAATTCTGCTACGAGAATAAATTGACAATAACAAACACAAAATTTAGAAAGAACACAAAAAATAAATGGACCTGGCAATCTCCCGACGGAAACACAAGAAATGAAATTGACTACATATTAGCTAAAAATATAAAAATAGTTAGCGATACTGAAGTACTGAACATACCATTTTCATCTGACCATAGGGCTGTAAGGTGTACTATAAAGCTAAATAGAAATTTTAAACAAAGTAGGAAAAAATTCGACAACAAGAGAAAAAACTTTACGCCAATCGAACAAGACTTATTAAAAACGTCACTAAGAGATGAAGACAATGTAATAGGTGGAACAGCAGATATTACATATAAAAATATTATTAACACAATCGAAAAATGCGTAAAAAAACTACCAAATTCATATAAAATTGAAAAGAAGCATGTAGATATCAGTAAAGAACAAGATATTATGGAACTTATAAAGGAAAGGGAACAACTAAAAAAAATACAACATAGAACATTTAAGCAAAGGAAACGACTAAGAATACTACATAAAAAGATAAGACAAAAAATTAAAGATAAACAAAAAACTCATAGGCTTAAGATCATACAAGAAGAATTAGAGCTATCAGGGTCTAGTAAAAGAGCTTACAATAAAATTAGTAATACGAGAAATTGGATAATGAAATTAAAAGCAAAAAATAACAAAATAGTATCATCCAGAAGAGATATGTTACAAATAGCAACCGATTTTTTTAAAGAATTATACAAAGAACATAAATACAATATACAAAATAGTCTAAATAATACAATTACTCAAAATCAAAGTGAGGAAGTTCTCCCATTCCTACAATCAGAAATTAGAAATGGTATTTCCAAGATGAAGATAAATAAAAGCCCTGGTGAAGATGGCATAACATGTGACGTAATTAAAGCATTTGATGATTCGATTATTCCTTTATTAACTGCCTTATTTAACCAAGTATTGTTTCAGAGGAAAGTCCCCGATAAATGGAAAAGCTGCATAATCACTCTTCTGTATAAAAAAGGAGATCCAAAAAGTATAAGCAACTATAGACCAATAAGTTTGCTTTCGGTCATATACAAACTTTTTACATCCATACTTTTAAATAGAATATCTAGAAATATAGAAGAGAACCAAGCTAAAGAACAGGCTGGTTTCAGGAAAAACTTCTCAACTATCGATCACATAAATACAATTACACAGATAATAGAAAGATTTATAGAATTTAAAAAAACAATATACCTACTATTTATAGATTATAGCAAGGCATTTGATTCCGTGAAACATAATAAATTGTGGGAAGCCTTGGTCGAGCAAGGAATTCAAACAACATACATAGAATTGCTAGAAAATATATATACTAACTGCAAAGCGAAAGTGAAATTAGAAAAGCCAGGAGAAGAATTTTCCATACAGAAAGGTGTCCGCCAAGGAGACACAATCTCACCAAAACTGTTTATAGCTGTACTTGAGCACATTTTCAGAAAACTGAAGTGGAGCAAAGAAGGTATAAATATAAACGGAGAGTACCTATCAAACCTTCGTTTTGCGGACGATATTGTAATCATCTCTGAAAGTCAAGAACAGTTACAAAAAATGATTTATGATCTAAATGCCGAAAGTTCTAAATGTGGCTTGATAATTAATCTAGATAAAACAAAAATCATGACTAATGGGGAAAAAATACCAGTCCTTCTAGAAAACAAAACCATCGAATATGTGGATGAATATATATATTTAGGTCAAAATATCTGTTTCGTGAACAGGACAACAAAAGAAGTAGAAAGAAGAATAGCATTGGCATGGAAAAAGTACTGGTCCTTAAAAGAAATATTCAAAGGAAACTTCCCATTACAAATAAAAAAGAAAATTATGGACTCAAACGTTCTACCAACTCTTACTTACGGATGTCAAACTTGGGTCTGCAATGCAGAAATAAAAAGAAAAATAAGATCATTTCAAAGAGCTACAGAAAGAAGTATGTTAAAAATCAAACTACAAGATCGAATCAATAGCAGCAAAATTAGAAGGAGAACAAAAATTACAGATGCCCTAACGACAATAGCGAGGCTTAAATGGAAATGGGCGGGACATGTCATAAGATCCAGTGACGGTAGGTGGAGCGAGCGCATCCTACATTGGTTCCCTCGTGATGGTAAGAGAGACCGTGGTCGACCTCTTAGAAGATGGAAGGATGATATAGAGGCAGTAGCGGGAAACCTGTGGACACGTACTGCAAAAGAAAGAGACAAATGGCACGAGATGGAGGAGGCCTTCATCCAACAATGGATGATCCCTGAATAGAAGATGGTAACCACATATTGAACCAACACGCAAATACTAGCATATTCACACAAAACACACACATACACGCGCAAACACACACGCGCGCACACACACACACACACACACACACACACACACACACACACACACACACACACACACACACACAGTTAAATTTGTTAAAAGTGGGAATAAAGGCTTTTTTATTTTTATTTATTTATTTTATTTAAATAAATAATGCTTTTACCCCACTAGTAGGCCCGGCAGATGTAATTCTGCTCTTTACGGTTGGTGGCGCGATGAGTTTCATTTTAAATTTTCTCTAATCAAGTAAAAATCTAAATATGGGTTAAATTTTTATTATTCTGCGTGGTTATTTGCGTAACGATGACTTCTAGTTCAGTTTTAAGTGCATATAATCTAACTGGTCTGAATAGGGGATGACGGAGCCCGGCTCTGATGGCTAACTGATATTTTGGGCGGTGAGAACCGCCCAGGGACGCGGGTGTACAGTGTGTACGCGATGTGGATGGATGTGCGGCGCGCCCGTCTTCTGACTCGCCGCGTCCCATCCACTGTTGTCCTAACTGCGTTTTTGACACTAGGTGTGTGTGTAGTGTTTATGTGTGAATGGCCGGGGACATTTCTATCATAGGCAGATGCCTAGGCTTGATGAGTTCTGCTAGATAGCAGAACTCATCAAGCCTTCCAAAACGGTTGGAGTCGTCGGGTTGGGATGACTCTCGGCTCTCTCAAAATAACGCCAAGACATTTCCTTGAAGTGCTCAGAGGTCATCGGAAGTTGACAATCTCTGTGTAAGTCGGAGTTTCGCTGGTACCACCGAGCTCCAATGGCTATGCGAATGAATGTATTTTGAACTACTTGGATGTCGTACAAGTGTCTATGGGCCGTATGGGTGAAAACTACGCTTGCGTAATACATGATAGGTCTTACTCATGTTTTGTGCGGATGGAGCTTATGTCTTAAGGACAGTTTGCTCTTTCTGGTAACTAGCGGGTGGAGGCAACTTGTGATGATTTTGGATCGATTGCGAACATTACGAAAGTATTTCGGGGAATGTCATATCTTCGTTGAATGTGACTCCTAGATATTTGGTCGTCGGTTGCCAGGGGATCTGGTGACTATACAGGTTGATCGTATCTTACGATTTCTTAGGGTTTCTGATTTGACGATTGGAAGTGAAGATCCTTTGTATAATACAATTTGTATTGCTACACTTTTCTCAGAATTCATTTCAATTTTCCATTAGCAGAACCAATCACCTAAGCTGTTGACGGTTATTCGGAGCTTCTCGGTTAGGATTCTTTTATTGTGATGGGCGATAAAATATACCGTGTCATCGGCGAAAAGAGCAGTATTCACAACTGGGTCCTTCGAGATGTCACTCTTGAAGAGTGTGTAGATTAGTGGGGACAGGACGGAGTCTTGTAGGACTCCAGCCTTGAAGGGACACATTGTAGAGCCAGTATCCTCTATACGATAACGAAAGTGGTAATTGGCAAAAAAGACTCTGATAATAAGGGTGAGTCTATCGGGCACGTTGAGTTTATACAGCTTGTAAAGCAAGCAGTTGTGCCAGACTTTGTTAAACGCTTTTGCGACATTGAAGAAGAGGGCACTGGTCATGGTTCTACGAATTCTTTGTGGGAGTTTGAACCCTCTCAGAATATATTTTGTGAGGCGATGAAATTGTTCGGTGCACGACTGTTCCAGTCTAAGGCCGAACTATTCATGTGGAAGAAGTTTGTTGATGAAGACGTGTTTCCGAAGGCGATTCAATATGTGTCGCTCGTAAATATTCCCCAGTGTACTGAGGAGACTAATTGGCAGATCAATTAGTCTCCTCAGTAAACTGAAACCGCGCAGTTGCGCGGTTTCCCCGGTTTCGGGATTCCTATTACGTCTGCTTCTTTCTATGCATTTGGGAAGAAGTAGCTAGAAATAAGAGCGTTGAATATACCTACTAGGAGGCCAACGAGCGGAGCAGAGAGAGATTTCAGTAAACTTTTGCTAATGGTATCGAGGCCGGGTGCCGATTTCTTTTTAAGGCTTTTGATTACATCTTTGATTTCGTCAGCATTCATAGGACCTAAGGGGTTTTGCAGTAAAAATTTAAAATTTCATAAAGTTTCTACCACAGTGTAGTATAGTCTGTGGCCATTGTACGGTCTGTGGCCACTGTACGTGTCTATGGTCAAACAAATCTATGGTTTTATTGACAACATTACACACAGCACCGTGTACTTTTTGGTTTTACGATTAATACGGGGATTCTTTGATTTTATTTTTTTACATTAACCCCTATTTAATTGAACATGAGTTATTTTGATTCATAAACTATCAAAAATACATACCTATCGGATCCAAGCATAGTGAAGAACCATCGCCTCAACAATACAAGCGATATATTATATTGTGTTAATACGGCCTAAAAAGGTCGAGTCGTACAAAAGTTACACAATCATTAACAGACAAACCATCGATAACATAAAAAGATTTATGGTCGCTTTTAGTCACAAACAGTAAATCTCCGTCCTATTCAGTTATAATATTGTCAAACGCCATTAATTAGTCTGGACTGGGGTTCTAATTGATGATCCATGATAATAGAGACAATTAAATTTACAAAGTATTCATTTTATGCAGATTTATGAGATGTTTAATATTTAAAAGAAAGTGCTAGTGATAGCATTCTCTTGTTAATGCGAACCTTTTTGTTTAAAATGAGCTCTGTTTAAGATTGAAGTAAAACCAATATTACGGATTTAAACGCGTTTTATTTAACTCGTTTTAACTTATTTTTACCTCACAACTATTTAACACGTTAATTAAGTTATTTAATAAGTTAAAAGGTAAATAAATTAAAAGTTACAATATGTGAAAATTAACTTGATACCTACATACCGTAAAATTTGTTTTATTAAATTTGCAGTATTCGCGTTCATATAAGATAACATTATGAGTTTAGTTTATGCCAAGTTTTAATCGCATCTAGTTAAAACTGTAATATGGAGTTTGTATATAGATAATGTGAGACATTAAGGTTGACTTAGTAAAATAATTTTTAAGAGATATAAAACCAAATATATGTATATATTACTTTTAAACACATTTGATTATGACTACGTATAATTTCTAAGTGGTGGAGCGATGCTACAGATATATTATGGTTCCAGCACGAATGGGTCGACTCAACCGAGAACCACTGTCTCACAGAATACCAGCGTGAAATAGCTGTTTGATACTACAGTGCATATGGTGAATTTGTAAAACCAGAGGAGACAGTTTTATTGGATACAAGGCATTCCTTCTTAATCCTAAGGGGTGACACAGTTCATGTTGATTCTTGATGAAGATGTTTAAGGGCCCCGCATCTATTTACCATCACATGGACCATGTGCTCGTTTGTCACCCTGATTCTTTAAAAAAATTGAAAATTATGTTACCCCTAATAGAAATTAATTATTGTGTGGAATTTTTACTACCTATATGACAGCCTGTGAATTGTCCACTACATTAAACAGAAGCCCGTGCCATATCAAAATGTTAACAAGTTTGGAATATAAACGCAATACTACAACCGTGTAATGGCGTTGTAATGATATTCACTACCCTTTATTGTTCCGTGAACGTCATAATAGCCTACAAAGGGATACTGAAACAGAAGATGGATCAGCAAATTTTTTTTGATGACAACGCAAAATAATAAAAAAACGCGGTTGTCAATACGCCTGCCAAGCGTGGCAACTATTGCAAAATCCCTATGTTATGCGGGAGGCCTATGTTTTTTTTTTATTGGGTAAGGGTGACAAACGAGCACACAGTCCACCTGATGGTAAGTGGTTACTGCGGCCCATAGACATCTACATCTATCCTCTATTACAAATCAAAGTGTAGATGCGTTGTCACCCGTGAGGACTAAGATGGAATGCCTCATTTCCAGTAAAAAGGGCCTCCGGCCACCTGCACTCACCAAGCAAAATGCAGAGGTAAACCTCTACTTCACGCTGGTTTTCTGTGAGGTCGTGGTACCACCCCGGTTCGAGCCGGCCCATCCGTGCGGCAGCAAAAGCTACCGCGTTCACTGTTAAAAATTTCAGTACTATGTTCAGTAGTGTATTTTATTTTAGGATTTAATAAGAACGAAGTCACTAAATTGTACTATGGCACAATAACTATTATCACCGCAGCCAAAACTAAACGTATTTTACGAATGATTTCTGATACACTACCAAGATTCACTCTGCTTATTTCGATTTTGTCTAGAGTTGCCTGTATAAGGGTCGACACACAGACAAATGCCATTACGCTCAATAATACATACCTTTTTGCAATTAAATATGGTTTTAATTTCTTACACGCCAAAAAAATATTAAAACTAACCCTACATGGTTAACGTTTCTGTTTGTAAAAATTGGTTTCATTTAACATAAGAAGTAAAGAAAAAAAACCTTGATAGGTTTTGATGTCATAATTTGCTGTTTTTACAAATGCGTGTTCATTAATTTATGTGCGTGTGTACATATATCATAGACAAATATTTAAATAGGACGCCCAAAGTACAAAATGTCTTAATGATTTTATTATAAATTTTAATGACAATTTAACTTACAGTTCATCTAACGGTAGGTGTCAACTGCATTCCATGGACACCTGCAATTAAGTTTAAAAAAAGAAGCCTATAGATACCCTGTTACTTCTGAGAACTGATAAGGTAACCTAAATCCTGTAATTATAGTCTCTCTATAGATCTGAAGTGGCTGGGCTGTTGACGGCACAAAAATATATGTAAGAGGGTAGTACCTACCCATACAAACTTCTAGTCACAAAAGTGGTCCAACCTTCTTTGGATTATCTTACGCTGACACCACAATTATAATTTTATTTGATTAATAAAATTTGTGAGAACGAAATTCTAAAGTGAAAAAATAAAAATATATTATTTTGTACTATATCTGTTCAGTAACTACTGATACTCTCCAAATCAAAACTAGAA